CCCCCCCCCCAGGCTCATCAACGCCAAGAAGATCAACTGCATCCGCGCCGACACCTTCGGGGACCTGCAGAGCCTCTCTCTGCTCTCGCTGTACGACAACAAGCTGCAGGGCCTGGCCAAGGGCACCTTCGCGTCCCTGCGGGCCATCCAGACGCTGTGAGTGCCAGGCAGCGCCAGCCGCCAAGTCCCGGATCTTGGGGGGATTCCTGCCCCGCCCTGCATGGCCCACGTAGGGCAGGCTCCTGGGGCAGGCTCTGGTTCAGGAGGTGCAGCCCGGGAGCTGGGGGGTGGGCAAAGAGGCCTTCACGCCCTCCGGATCCTGGGCTCCCCTGGGGCCAAGAGGGGAAGAAAACCCTGGAACCGGGTAAGTCAGAGCAACCAGGGGGTCCCAGCACCACATACTGATGCCCCCCCCCCCCCCAGCAGGGCTCAGTGGGGCAGCATGGAGCTGGCTGGGGCTGGGGGGCATGAGCAGCTCTGCAGGCCCCAGGGCAGTGCAGAGGGGCCAGGCTGGGGGTTGCTGTAATTTACCCAGAGTCCCTAGAGCCCGGCGGGGTTTGGTGCTCCCCGCCTGGGCCCAGGGGCGAGCTGCGAGCCGGGGGCCCTGCCCATGGGGGGCGGCACCCCCAGCTCAGGGCCTGGCCAGTAACGCTCAGCGCTGGGGCCAGCATCCCCCTCCTCCCCTCTGCATCCCCCCCCCCAGGCACCTGGCTCAGAACCCCTTCATCTGCGACTGCAACCTGCGGTGGCTGGCGGATTTCCTGCGCGCCAACCCCATTGAGACCAGCGGTGCCCGCTGCGCCAGCCCGCGCCGCCTGGCCAACAAGCACATCGGCCAGATCAAGAGCAAGAAGTTCCGCTGCTCAGGTGAGTCCGGGCCCCTCCCTGCCCCACAGCAGCCACGGGACCCCGGGGGCTGGGGGACAGAGGCAGTTCATTGGGGAAGGGAGCTGGGCCCAGCAGTGAAGGGAGCGAGGGGCCGGTGCCCCGTGTGCCGAGCAGGCAGAGGACGAGCCGGGGCACGGAGTCTCCACGCAGCCACAGGGAAGCTGGAACCCAGGCTCCTGCTCCTCCAGCCCTGGGTCCTTCCCTGGGGAACCAGAGCGTCCGTCCATGCAGCCGCTGTCACTGCCCCTGCGGGCTGGGGGCTCCCCCCCCGGGCTGCTGCTACTGCAGCACTATCCAGAGGTCTTAACTGAGCCATGGGGTGCTGGGCCCCACAGAGACACCGCGTCATGCCCTGCCCTGCCCAGCTCCCAAGCCAGATAGACAGCAAGGGAGGAGGGGAAACTGAGGCACGGACCTGGAGGGACTTGCCCAAGCTCAGCCAGTGTGTCAGTGGCAGAGCCGGGGCTCGAGCCCTGGTGCCAGCGCACC